CAGAGCAGGGAACAGAACAGGCAGACTGACAAAATACACTGCCGAGGGGAACAGCGGGCAGATAGGAGAGGTCTCTCGCACTATGTGGGACCCTTACGGGGCCTGCCAGGGATCGAACCCGCACTGCAAAGGCTGTGGACAGCTTCACAGCGCTGTGCTCAACCGCCTACGCCACCAGGGGAGGCCCTTTCTCACTTTCTTAAGGCTAAAAACATTAAATCTTTTCCTCTTCCAGGAAATATCACCTAAGGTAGCATTCTTTTTCTGCTGCGGTCAATAAATCTTAAAATCCACATTATTGTTTTTCCATTACTATATTGATTTATGCTGAAGTGTCATATGTTGCAGGCTAATTTTGTAATAAAGCTAAGGAATTTAAAAACTAGCAGCCTAGGTCTTTTTTTTTTTTTAAAGAGGCATTTATTTTTATTTATTTGTTTGTTTGTTTGTTGTTTATTTGTTTGTTTATACATGCACTGGGTACAGTCAAGCTTGGGAGGGTGAGAAAATTCACCAGAGCCAGAGCAGGAAGCAGAGCAGGAAGCAGAGCAGGAAGCAGGACCAAGGTACACTGCTGAGGGGAGCAGCGGGCGGCAGGAGAGGTCTGCGCGCCATGTGGGACCCTCCTCCGGTGGCCGGGGAGCAGCCGGGGATCGAACCGGTGCTGCAGAGGCTGCAGGCAGCTTCCCAACCCAGTGCTCAACCGCTGCGCCACCCGGGAGGCCCTCAGCCTAGGTCTTTAAGAATGAGGGACAATGGGTCTCCCTGTTAGCGCAAGGGGTTAAGTCTCAGCACTTTGAAGCTATCTGCAGCCACTGCAGTACAAGTTTGATCCCGACCCACATGGCACAGCAGACCTCTTTGGTCTTGCCTGCTGCTCCCCTCAGAAGTATATTTCAGTAGATCTGCCTGTACTGCTCCCCACTCTGCCTCTGGTGAATCTTCTCACATAGCATTCCCCCAAACCAACCCCCCCATCTCTGGCCTACACCTCAGCTCTTATATGCATAAATAATTAAAATAAATCTTAAAAAAAAAAAAGAATGAGGGACAAGTTATATTCCATACCAGGATATTTTTTGAATAGTCATCAACAAACTTCCCCTAAGACTACAAAAGTTTCCTGAGGATGTGCCGAAAGGTTTTTAATATGCAAAAGGTACACAGGGCCTGAGGGATCCTAGCAAGGTCATTTGGTTTTCTTTGAAAGGTTTCTTGTCCTCACAGGGAGGGAGGGACAATGGTTATCTCAGTTTTATAGTAGCTTTGCCCTCTGGCATTCTCAGCCAGAGACTCTGTATACTCCTGCTTTCAGGGTCCGAGCTACCAGTTTGGATTTATTTTTTACATCTGTGAAATTTGAGTTCTCTTGTGTCACATTTCTGAAAAATTCACAAAGTCAGTCAGGCACAGTTGTCACTAGACTTTAAAACAAACTCTTTGGAAAACTGATACTGTAGCTATCTCTTAGTTGCCCCACCCTCCTTTATTTCCTTTATATTCTCAGTAGGGCAGAGTTCATGCCTTGTACTATTAGGAAGTCAAATACTGAGTTGAGTCATTTTGTTAATATTATTTTGCCATATACATATTATATATAGTAGAGTTAACTGCCTGTATGTGCACATTATTTCTCCCCAATGAATGTACCAACTAGATTTTCAGTGTTAGTCCAAAATGTAGATTTTTGTTAAGGCTCTAAAATCTTTCATACACCTCCTTCAAAAACTACTTTTATGAAATCAGAACCAAGCTAAATAACCTAAGTTTATTATACTTTAACATCAGGCTTCCCTATAAAAGTCAAAGCCTTTCATTATCTCTCATTTCTCTCTAATCAGCAGGCCCAGTTTAAGAAAATTAAGTGTATAAGAAGAATCTGTGAACAACTCTGTCCAGCCCCCTCCAAACATTTTCTTTTCACTCTGCCTTCCTATTATTTTATTTCATTATCTTACTGACCTTCTTAACAAGATGCAGTCTCACCTGGTCAAACTCAACAGGACAATCGGCTGTCTGCCTCTCACCACCTCACCGATTGAGGATGCAATTTTCCTATTCAGTCTGTTCCAGTGGGGCAGCCTCCTAGCTCAGCCCTTGCTGGATAGTGAGCTAGAAGAGCTCAACCCTCCACACCAGTCCTAGAAATTTGACATGGGCCCATCAAGGTATAACAGGGTAGTCTCCAGGAAAGGGGGAGGTTCCCTGCCCCACCCAAGGGACGGTGGAGCTGAGCAGGAAGAGAAGAAGCTGCAGAGGAGACTGAGGAAGAAAGGAAGCAGGATGGAACCAGGAGACATGGAGGAGGCGCATGAAGCCTAGAGACACATGAAGAAACTGCGCTTGTCTTTTGGTCGTGGGCTGGGTGACACAGATGTGGGTGAGAGACTCGTGGGGAGATGACAATGGCGGTTTTTGTCTTGATTTTGGTTTTGCTTTTTTCCCTCCAGACTTGTCTGGTTGTTTCTGATGCTTTTCTGTGGGTCCCCACTGGAAGATGCTTTAGACTTGTGGCAGGTTTTGGGGCCTTACTCTGGGCCAATCCTGCTTGGGTGAACTTTTATCCACGGGGGGATGGGTAACTTTGGGTGCTTGATTTAGAAACTATATTCTTTGCCTTTTATGTATTGTTTCCTACTTGTGATGCCGGAATTGTCAGGCCTAGTCTCCCAGGAAGCCTTCCTAAATTCTTCAGAGGTCCCCTCCTGCACTGTCCCTAAAACTGCCTAATAACCCTAGCTTACCCTGTCTCACTTGTACTAAAGTTCCTTTCCACTAAAGTCTCATATGTTTGGTGTTGATGCAGCAGATGGCAGAACCCATTTAGAATAGGCAGGTTTGCCGGGTTTGGGCTGCCCCTCTTCCTGCCCTGTAACAAAGGGACGATCCAACTGATACTATTTCATCGAGGAATCAGTAACTACTTTTAAAACATGGAGGAGTGCCATCAAGAATCTCAAATGTTAGCCCGGGTAACAGAAAAGATACCATAAAACATCTCTTTAGCCTAGGCTGACTTCAAGCCTAAAGAAAGACTATTTAGTCTCCTTTCTCTCCAAATAGTCTCATGCTATTCCCGTTCTAGTTTCTCTTTTTCTTTTTTTTTTTTTTTCCAGATGAAGGAAGCTGCTACAGATGAGCCTGAGAACTTTGATATTGGACAGTGGAACTACGCAATTATCTTTTCCTTATTAAATGGCAACTGTGTAAGTATTGATATATTTAACATATCCTGTTTTATAGGATACCTGCTGGGTGGGTGAACATTGATAGCATGAAGGTGTTGCCTTTTGGTATACAAGCAATAAATATCTTGGTTTATGGAGAAGGAAAATTTCACATGACTTGGCAAGTCAAATATTACACGTCAGTCTCACGGATGGTGTTCTTGTGCCTCTAGTGCAAATTAGAAAACAGTTCTCTCCTATCTGTAGCAACCTTTTCCCTCTAAAGTATTGTTCTCCTTGAGAAGTAATCTATTAAACTAAAACTGCCAGTTTATGCAACAACAAAACTGCAAGATGCAAGGACACCACAAATTTTGAAACATGCTGACATCTGAATGAAATGCATGTACACACAAATATGAGACAAAGATAGATGGACAAAGCTACAATTGGTGTGCACAGCTCATGACAATAAGCAAGGGTTAGGAATGTTATTCTAGATGCTAAGAGTGGTCTGCACTATATTTTGCCTTGCTCATAAAGAATAGCTTTAAGACCCGTTTCCTTTTTCAGTTGGGATTATAACTCTTACGAAATGGAAATACAAAGATTCATGTTCAGGATAAGAAAGCAAATGGATACAATAGCATATGAATTTTCCATCTAAATAGAATAAATCACAAAATATCAGCCTTGGAATTTTGAGGCAAGGAGGGCAGGGTCACATCCAATATGGACTAAGAAACTTAAAAAAAAAAAACTTTAAGAGACAGAGGCTCTAAAAATGCCAGTCACTGGGGACAGGCAGGTAAGTGAATGGATAGGTTTCATCCTAGAAGCCCCTAAATTGTGATCGTCCACCCTTCCCAAAAACCAGAAGCTTCTTAGCTTCAAGCGTCTCACTGAGTCCCTATCCACTAGTTGAACTCACCTGTTTGCTCATTCCTGGAGTTACCTCAAAGGGAACAAATTTAGTCCTATAACTTAGTAAGCATTGATAGACTTATTCACACTGAAGGTACATGTAAAATTATATGCTCCTTCCTATTTTCATGGTGAGGGAGAGGCAAACAGGGTAGAAAGACAAATATAACCTATACTTGGGTTCTGTAGAAGGGCAAGCTCATTACCTCTTAGCAGGGACACAAAGCAGCACTTAAGTCTATTTCAAAAGTTATGAGATTTGCTTTTTAAAATAGTTTGGCACACTGCAGCTTTGTTATAACGAGGTTCATGATATTTTCTAAACAATTGACCAATATTAAGAGGATTAGAAGCCTGGACATCAGAGGCAGGAGGTATAAAAGGACTCCTTTTCCATAGGGGGTACAAAGTCTTTTTTTTTTTTTTTAAGATTTATTTATTTATGCATACAAAAACTGATACAGGCCAGAGGTGTTGGGGGTGAGAGGGTTCACCAGAGACAGAGTGGGAACAGAACAGACAGATTGACTGAAATACACTGCTGAGGGGAGCAGTGGGTGAGTCAGGAGAGGTCTGCTGCACCATATGGGTATCTCCCTGGCTGGGGATCGAACTTGTGCTGCAGTGGCCTCAGATAGCTTCATAGGTTGCGTCTTAACCCCTTGCGCCACCAGGAAGGCCCCAAAGTTTTTCTTTCCTATGATTCCCATGGGTCTTCTAAAGGTACCTGACCAATAAATAACTGGCTTTCTCCCAAAATGGTAACACAGTAAATCCAGCTGAGCCTGGCCCCTGAGTAATCCTAACTCCAAGGCTCACATCTTAAGTGGCTTCTTGGCAAGAAATGCTACACACATTGAGACTAGTGCAAATACTGATTTAATTTCTTTCCAGCAAGGCGATGAGCCATGAGTGGCTCCCTCTACTGGCTTAAAAACCCACCCTCAAGAGTCCAGTAAATGAGCAAATGAAGGGAACAACTGTATCTAATACAATTCTTAATAGGCAGTTAACTTTCATCTTGTCAAAAACTTGTTATAATCAAACATTCCATTTTTTACACTAGTCTCCAAAGTTATCAATGTGTCCAATTCCCCAACGGCCAACTGAAATTCATGTATGTACATTAGTAACCCTGTCAGGCAGCTCTATGATAGCAAGACAAAAAGCACATGGAACACACAGCATAAAACAGATCTATTCTGCAGTGAATTTTATTGACTTCAAAGGGGTTATTCCTTTATGAAAAACAAAACACTGAAGTTGTACAAGCAAACAAGGGAAGCGAACCAATGATGATGCCTGTTCAGAGCAAATACCAGTTCATACCACCACACACATGAAGGTGTTTTTATTCAATGCAATAGCAACAGCCGCAACAGAAGACCACACATGCACTGCAACTTTTTGTTAATTCTGGCTAAGTTCTGACCAATCTATATTACCAGCCAAGTAAGTAACAAAACTCCCTTGCTGATGCCAGAAACTTTAGAGCTCTTAATCCAGCTGGAAATTACAATTGAGGATCTATTTTCTAGCCCACTGCTTCACTAACTCAGGGCTGTCTAGCAGATTAATTTTAACTTAACAGAAGGTATCGTCAAGCTGGCTGCACCAACACTGATGACAGGGAGGGGATAAGCTTAATGGGTTTTGTGCTCAGGTTACTGGGCTTCCTGGCAGGTCTTGTCTTCCTCTGCAACTTGGTCCTGAGGATTCTGAGAATCGGTCAGCTGAGGATAAAAGGGACCTACCAGCCAGTTGAGAGGTGTGTTGTTAACAAGATAATCCATCATATCGTCTAAAGAATCCTTCATTTTCTGTAGCTGCCCTTTGCTAGAAGTGAGGAGGCTGTCAGACACTTCCTTAAAGGAGGCAGCATTGCGGAACACCGAGTAGAGGTCACCAGCCATCACCCCCAAGTGGCTGGCCTGATCTTGGATGTTCTGTGGTAACCCTTCGATGTTGTACAGGAGAGTGTGGCATGTGGTCTGGAGCTGCTGAGTCAGGTTACGGGCAATAGCAAGAGTACGTGACTCAATGTGCTAAAAATAAAACAAAACAAGTTTAAGAATTAGCAGTGTATTACTAGTGCTACATATGAACTGATTTCATCATAGTAGGCTGGTTAAATGTCCACCACATATGTGGATTCTCTGACTTTTAAAATCCTCAAAACAACGAAGAGTGCAGCAGTATTATTCACATTTCATAGATATGAACATAGCTTAGAGTTTAACTAACATGCCCCAGTTAACAGGTGGCAAATAGCTAAGAGCCTTTTTGAACTGGTGCCTGAGTATTCAAAGTTCATCATCTTACACAGAAGGAACAAAACAGGCAGGAGAGAATGGAGAGAATAAAAATAATATTCCATGTTAGTAGGGCAGTTAATAGTTCTACCTTGAATATGATGACATCATGGAAGCAAATAGGTATTATTTATTTCAAATGCAAATGCATATATACTGGCTGTCAGAAACCAAAGAACCACTTTCTGAGTCTACAACATGCTTTCTTTTGTTCAGAACACTAGGCCCCCTATTACCCTTTCACCTAGCTAATTCCCCCATTATGTCTCAGCTTAGCAGGAAACCAATGTCTCATCTCTTGCAGGAAACCAATGACTCAGCCATCCTCACTCCAAGGCTGAGTTAGGTACCTTTCCCATATATTCTCAGAGCATCTGTATTGATGCTATCAAAAAACACTATCATAGTGAAAAAGGCCTATATGTGCTGCTAGTCCATACTCATTATAAAGAAAAAATTGGTGATTCTCATTTAGTTGAACCCCACTAGGGGCAATATGCATGTCTGTGGTTGTTAAATTGTCTCTGTTACCTCAGCACAATGGGATTCATCTGTATCATCATAGCCAATGCTCCTTTTCCACTCCACCCAGGTGAGAGAGAGTTTATCCTGAGCATCCTGAATTTTCTGGTTCGCACTATGCACATTCTTCCTGGCAAATTCAATCTAGAACACAGAGGAATAAGACAAAGAAACCAACAAGTCAAACATCCATGTTAGCCTGTTGTTCTCAGATCTATGATACAAATCAGACAAATAAAACCTCAGGATTTCCATAAGTATAGCTATCCCTGCTGTCACTGTTATTTATAGTCAATATATAAGTTCTTTATACATATAATCACTATCTACATATAATCATAGTATAATAACTACGTATAGTTCTTTATTGCCTTTAACTATTAAAAACCACTGTCTCCAAAATTTTCTTCCAGTTTAGCACAGATAAAGGAACTAAAATTTAATATATGTACGTGTAAAATGTCAGTTAAAATGACAAAAGGGAAAGAAATTCAAACTTCCTCTTCCCTGTTGCCAGTGAGTGACCTACTTCCCCTTCCAAGAAGTTTTCTTACAACAGCACAATACACACTGTTGTGTAACTTGGAAATCTTTACTGGTTATATATAGAGTAGTCTTTTGTGATGTGCCCATTAATTCCCTGTTAGTTGGCACACAGTGTTTACAGCCTTTTGCCACTCTAAACAAATACAGATGTGTAGGATAACTTCTAAAAGTAAAATTGCTGGGGGCACAGTGTGTATATAATGTCCCTAAAAGAGTCCCCTGAACACTCCAGAAGTGTACACTTTACACTATTGTCAACAGGACCAAACATGGCCAGTCTAATAGGGCAAGAGAGGCATCTGTTATTTGACCTCTCAGAGTAAGATTAACATCTCTTCATATATTTCAGCTGTTTAGATTTCCTTTTCTTTTGCTACTTGTACACGCTTTGCCCTTTTGTCCACTGGATAGTTTATAAAGGATATTATAAAGATTCTTGGATTTCATGGTATTTACTATCATTCCTTGTGATGCATGAACTCACTTTAGATTCCTTTAAAGGATGTTTTACTCACCATGTTAACGGTGGAATGGAGCTGAGAAATGGTCTCCTGGCTTTTTTGCTTAGCTTCTTTAACTCTGCTGAGGGCCTGCTGGTAGGCACGTGAGCGCAGCTTGGTAGACAGAGACCCCAGTCTAATATAATAGCTTGGTTTCTGAACTATTTCAAATCCTTCCACTTTTTTTGCTTCTTTTTCTGAAGTTAGGAAAGAAAAAAAATTTAAAGGATCACAGCTATTTAAGTGTGGCCTGAACTCTAACCTGGACCTTGACTTTGTCAATTCTACCCATGCAATTTTGTACGCATTCCCCCCTGACTGCTCATGTCTACTGCCTGGCCTAACCACCCAGAACAAGAATGTATCTCACACTTTTATCTACACTTTCATCTCATCTACACAAGACTATCTCTCACACTTTTTTTATCTACTGTTCGATCCCCAGCTGCTCCCCGGCCACCGGAGGAGGGTCCCACATGGCGCACAGACTCTCCTGCGGACTGTTGCTCCCCTCAGCAGTGTACTTAGGTCCTTCTGCCTGCTCTGCTCCCCGCTCTGGCTCTGGTGAATTCTCTCACCCTCCAGTGCTTCTGACTGTACCCAGTGCTTGTATAAATAAATAAATAAAGCTTTTTTTTTTAAAAAAGATAGTTTTAAGAGGGAGAAATCTACAAAGACAGAAAGATTAGTAGATACCTGAGGGAGGAAATACAGATTGACTACAAATAGGCATGAAAAATATTTCAGGGTGATAAAAACTGGACTGAGGGGTTAAGTCTCAGGGTTATCAAGCTATCACCAGCCACTGCAGCACGAATGCCATCCCCTGCCAGGGAGCCAACATACATAGCACAGCAGAATTCTCCTGTCTCACCCGCTGCTCCCCTCAGCAGTGTATTTCAGTCAATCTGCCTGTTCTGCTCCCCATTCTGTCTCTGGTGAATCCTCTCCCTTTCCCCCACCTCTGGCCTATACCCCAGTTCTTGTATGCATAAATAAATAAAATAAATCTTTAATAAATTTTTTAAAAAGATTGCGCTAAGATATAAAAATTATTATTTTTTTTTTAAAGATTTATTTTTTATTTATACAATAGCTTGGGTACAGGCCAGAGGCACGGGAGGGTAAGAGGATTCACCAGAGACAGAGTGGGGAGCAGAACAGGCAGACGGAATGAAGACACTGCTGAGGAGAGCAGCAGGTGCCAACAGGAGAGGTCTGCCACACCATGGGGGAATCTCCCTGGCTAGCCAGAATCGAACCTGCACTGCAGAGGCTGTGGACAGCTTCACAGAACTGCCCTCAAACCGCTGCACCACCGAGGAGGCCCCAATATAAAAATTATTTCAAGACAAAATTGCAATTACCTAATTCTTCTTCAGTGAGAGGGAGGTACTGGTCTACCAGCAGCTCTGATTTGGTGAGGGCATTTTCTACGCCACTGCTCACCAACTGCATCATTCGACTTCCCAAGACTGTGTTAATGCTGCCATTGACCACAGACTTTGTCTTCTCCACACTGTCAGTCACTGCTCCTTTGGTCTTGTCCATCACCCCAGTGATAGTGCTGGCGACAGAATCCTTGGCCCCTGTCACAGTAGTTGTCATAGCATCTTTTGCCCCTATCACAGCACCTTTGGCATTGGCAACAACCTGTAAGTAGGAAAGCAGATCATTTGGCTGGTGAGAAACACAGGGATAAACACATATTTAAGATCTTAACTGAGGCAATTTCAAGAATTAAAGAAGGAATCTAGTCCTTTCACTCTTTAGCTTTAGTTCTTGAGCAAGTCACTAAAAGTTGTTGAACTTCAATTTTCTTATCAGATAGATTTGTCCTACCTGCCACCATGCAAGGATAACTGGAAGAGCAAATCAAATAAACATACAAAATGTGTCATTTTGTCAAAGTGTTAGTTTTTTTAAGCAGATGAACCTGCAATGAGGTAAAAGGGATACTCTAGCGAAGAATGCAATTTTCCATGCTGACATGCTTACAATGACAGCAGCTCATGCAAGACTGTGAACATAGATAGAGGAAACATGCACACCCAGCCCATAAAGGCCAACATATGTGGGCAGAGATGTCAGTTTATCCTGCTGGATGTGCTTCACATACCTGTGCCTCATATACAACTCTCCAAATTGCCAGCCTACCCAAGTTCCACTTATAATACCAAAGGTAGCCTACAGAAATGGCTGCATCATTTCTCCCCTTTGCTCATATATCAAGGAGAAGATGCAAAGTGGCACACAAAAGATTCTCTCCTTTTGTGCCTATCCAACAATACAATTACTTTTGTGCATGCATAACTGAGTTTTCCCTTCAAATACCACACATATTTTTACAACTAATGATGGATACTGGGGAAGTAAGCCAGCTGTTCAACTGCATGAACTCAGTTTCATTCTCTATTTGGGTGGGGGAGTGAGGAGGGAGAATGGACATAGGAACATGAAAGTTTTCCTCCAGACATATTTCTGGTATGTATAAAACATAAAAATCTCCAAAGTCACTTTATAAATTGGTTTCCAAGATCAGACATGAAAGATGGACTGAAAACCTAGATCCTGACTTAATCTGGTGCCATTTTTTAATGAAAAAAGAAAATAGCTTTCAGCTTTAATGTGCCCCACACGTACAAAGTAGCTGATAATGACTGGGACTTTTAGACAGGGGTCTCAACAGCACTTGAAAACTTAATTACAAGGCATGTATATTATAAATAGCTATGTTATTCAATTGGAAGAAATAAAGTTTTCAGTTTAGCTATTCTCTAATGTTTTTGCCAGCACTAATATTTCATGAAGGGCTTAACTCCATTAAGAACAACGAATAACAAGGCCTCCCCGGTGGTGCAGGGGTTAAAGTCGCAGTGCTATCAATCTATTGCCAGTTATTGTGGCATGAGGTGGCTCCCCACCCATGGAGCTGACCCACATGGCGCAACAGACCCCTCCTGTCTCGCCCACTGTTCCTCTCAGCAGCATATTTCAATAGATCTGCCTGTTCCGCTCCCCACTGTCTCTGGTGCCTCCTCTTACCCCTTCAATCCCCGTACCTGAAGCCTACACCCCAGTTCTTGATGCATAAGTAAATAAAAAATAAATCTTTAAAAAACCATTCAGTTCATATTACACATGTCAACATTTGCTTGAATACATATAATTAAAGGGGACAAACGGTCACAGAAGAAAAGTGGTAAATTAGTATCTGTTGGTGATAACAAACATTTTTTATATAGTTCATTCCAAAGTCACATAAATCTAAGGAAGAAACTAGAGATCAAGCTAAGCTTGGTCCTCCAGGCATCAGCATGTAGTCTGCCTAAGTTAGGGGGAAGACGCACTGGAGCAAGTGGGTGGTCCACCAGCACAGGAAAAGCTGGCAAGAAGACCTTCTCGGGGAAATATCTTCTCCAAACACCATTTACTAGAACTTTCTACTTTCAATAACTCAACCTTATGCTTTGTTAATTTAAAGTAAGGTAACCTGACTTTTTTTTTTTCTTAAAGATTTATTTATTTATGAATACAAGAACTGGGGTACAGGCCTGAGGTGTGGGGGGTGAGAAGATTCACCAGAGACAGAGCGAGGAACAGAACAAGCAGATTGATCTGAAATACACTGCTGAGGGAAGCAGCAGGTAAGACAGGAGAGGTCTGCTGCACTATGTGGGTTAGCTCTGTGGCCTGGGATCAAACTCAGGCCACAATGGCTGGCGATAGCGTGCTAGTGCTGAGACTTAACCCTTGTGACACTAGGGAGGGCCAGAACATGAAAACACGTGAAGCAGCAAGTCTGAGCACTCTTTTCCCAAGCTCACCTGGTCTGTTGGCTGATTCAGAATAGGTAGTTTCGCCTCAATTCTGTCCAGCCCCTTGCAGGCGTAGGTATTGGCAACCGCAACTACAAAAATCACAAATAGAAAAAATGTTAATAATGTTAACTATAAAATGAACAAAGACTTTTATTCCTTAACTCTTTAACCTTTCTCTAAAAAAGAATGTTGCTCTTCATTCACCATATAATGCATTGCCTGGGTTCTCCAAGACAAGAAAGCTATCCCGCCTTGCAGGCTGCTGGCAACTTTCTTCTACTGACAGGGAAATAGGGGTAGGAACAGTTCAGGTAGGAAGCTGGCTAAGAATCGTCTTCCTCATCAATTGTTACTAAAGTTAATGCCAAGAAAAGCCAGGCTTTAACAGAACCCTTATTCAGAGAATAAGGTATCTGAAAATTCCCAAAACTAGCATTTCCATGCCAATCTAATCCCTATGTATACTGAATTCAGCAAGTTGCATGTATCTGGGTTATTAGGAAACAGTATGCTACCACCACCATAGATCTCCTTAACAAGGCCCAGATTTAGTCCAACTCCCCCCACAAAGAAGACAAGTCAGGCATTAGTTCTAAATTCATTTGGGAAGTGGCAGAGTTGGAAATATGGCCTCTAAAGAGTACTCATATTTCAAAAAGCCCATGACATAACATATGAGGGGAATAATATAAATCTTTACCCAAAGTAGTTCATGGGCCTCCCTGGTGGCGCAAGGGGTTAAACAACATACGATGAAGCAATCCGCAGACTCTGCAGCATGAGTTTGATCCCCGCCGGCCAGGGAGCTACCCACATGGCACAGATGACCTCTCCTGTCTTGCCCGCTACTACCCTCAGAAGTGTGTTTTGGTCAGTCTGCCTGTTCTGTTCCCTGCTCTGTCTCTGGTGAATCCTCTCATCCCCCGCATCTCTGGCCTGTGCCCCAGCTCTTGTATGCATAAATAAATAAATCTTTAAAAAAAAAAAAAAGTAGTTATAATGAGAAGTGAGAACCTTCATACACCGCTGGTGGCAATGTAAGATGGTACATTGCTTTGAAAAATAGTTTGACAGTACCTCAAAGTCTTGAAAGAGTTATTATATGACCCAGCTATATAGATATAGCCCCAAGTAAACTGAGAACATAGAGTCACAGAAAAACTCACGCATGAATGTTTATAATCATTCAAAAGTAAAAGCAATCCAAATGTCCATCAACAGATGAATGAATAAAATATGATCTAGCCACATAATATTCTATAATAAAAAGGAACGAAGTACTGATAGGAGGCTCTAACGTGAATGCACGCTGAAAATACTGTGCTAAGACAATCATAAAAGACCACATATTTTATACTCCCATTCATCTTAAATGTCCAGAATTAGCAAGTATATAAAGACATAAAGTAGATTAGTAGTTGCCTACAAGTGGTTGAAAGGAAAAGGGTAGTGACTACTAAGATTTCTATTTTTTCAAATTGGAATAAAATATACGTAAGATAAACTTCACCATTTTAACTAAATGTAGCATTAAGTTCATTCACAATGGTGTGCAACTATCACCACTGTCCCTTCCAGAATTTTTTCATTATCCCAAAGAGAAACTGGTATAAGGCTTTTTAACCCGCAGCAATAAAAATGTTCTAACACCGATTGTGGCAATGCCTGTATAACTCTGTGAATAAACTAAGAACCACAGAATTATATACTGTAAGTGGGTGAATTGTGTGGGGTATTATCTCACAATAAAGATTTGTTTAAAAGCAGTTCATGAGACTGTGTGGTCCCAAAGAAGTCAACTGTTTCAGTTCACCCACTGGCTCCCTTTGTGATCTCATCTGCCAAGAAAGAGGCATCTCTGAGAGGCTTTTTTAAAGTATCATTAACATTTTCAATCATTATAAAGCACGTCTTCTATTACTTTTTTTTTTAAGATTTATTTTTATTTATGCATCTAAGAACAAGAGTGTAGAGAAGTGTAGGGGGAGAGAGGATTCACCAGAGACAGAGTAGGGAACAGAACAGGCAGATCTACTGAAATACAGTGTTGTGGGGAGCAGTGGGCAAGATAGGAGAGGTCTGCCTTGCCATGTGGGTTAGCTTCCTGGCTGGGGGTCAAATTCATGCTGCAGTGGCTGCTGATAGCCTGATAGCACTGACTTTAACCCTGTGCCACCAGGAAGGCCCAGGTCTTCTATTACATTGAGGGTCACCTAGTAGTTGCTAGGTAAAGGCAGCATGTGCCTCAGGAAAGGCTGAGATCCCTCATGTTGTCCTTGTGTGCTTAGGGTACTGGTTGGCATTCACTGTATTCAAGTCAGCCCTAGGCTCACTGTGGACAAAATGCTTGGACTAAATCTTGAAGGAGAAATGACTCACTTTGTGGCTCTAGCTTCTGGATGATGGGCAGAGCACTTGTCACCGCCACGGAGGTGATGGTCTTCATGCCCTTCTCTGCCATCTCACACACAGACTTCAAGTAGGGATGTTGATCTTTTGTAGTGACATAAGCAGAGGAGACCAAGTCGTATGTGGAGCTCACCAAGGGCAGGCTGGCCACCCTAGTCACCACACTCTGCAACGGACAGGGGGAGAGGTGTCAATTTCTCAAAACACAAAGGGAGGGAAAGAAATCAAGAAAAAATTAAAATACGTATGGGTTATGAGGGGGAAAAAAATCAAACATTATACAAAAATGAGCAATGATGTAAAAATTATATATTAAAAAAATAAATAAATACGTACAGGTTGTATATCAACTGCAACAGATGCCATTTTTCTTCCTGGTGAAAATAAACTGTGGAAGAGAAAATTATTTCAGGATATCAGAATAAGACCCTCTCAGATCATTCCCCAATCCAAGCAAATGCTAATTTGTTTTTTTAAAGATTTATTTATATTTATTTATGCATACAGGAACTGGAGTGTAGGCCAGAGGTGGGGGGATGAGAGGATTCACCAGAGACAGAGTGGGGAGCAGAATAGTGGGACCTACTGAAATACACTGCTGAAGGGAAGCAGTTGGCAAGACAGGAGAGGTCTGCTGTGCCATGTGGATCAGCTCCCTGGCAGGGGATCGAACTCGTGCTGCAGTAGCTGCCAATAGCATGATAGTGTGGACTTTAACCCCTGGGCCACCAGGGAGGCCTGCAAATGCTATGTTCAAAGAGAGGAAAATTCCAAATGAGGTGTGTGTAGTCTTCTGCACTCTTCCTAATCTTTAGCTCTCAGTTCTCTGCCCTGGGGTATATGCCCTTTGAGGGAAGGTTTCAGTTTATGTGTAAACTTTCAGAAAGGGAATCCACATGGAAAAGTAAAAACATTGAAGTCTTTGTCTTGTATCTCCTCTAGGATACCAAAATATCTTGAACAGTAGTATCTGTTCACCAAAAAAATCCGTAACAGAGATTTCAAGAAGACATCTGAGACAGTTAGGGCTATCAATTCGAAGCACTTGTATGTGGGGGCGGGGTGAAGAGAAAAAGGAGTTTATTCCACCCTTGTGAAAAGACTGAAATTTAGGAGAGAGTAAGTACTAGAGGGGGGAGGTGCTCGGAGGAACTGAAAAATCATTCCAGCACATTTTAGATGTAAACCTAGCGATCCCAAGGAGTCACACGCAAAAAACACCTCACTGCTGAGCAGTTGGGGTGGGTCACCCACCTCCGGGCCAGCGAGTTCATTTCCCCTTCGGCCACCACGGGTCCCAATTCTGCAAGAACTGAGTAAAAACCGCCCTGAAAGCTTAAAGCAGGAGCTATGATCGATAGCCTCGATGTGTACCCCATAAAATTCCCTTCTCAATAATACTCTCTCCAGACAAACAGAAACTGGCACTCGGCAAACCAAGACAAGAAGCTAAGCCCACACTAAGGCTCATGGCAGAAAAGAGGCTCAACCAACAAAAGAATGGGTGGACGGCGCAGGCCCGGGAGGCCGGCCTTCCCAACCAGCGCCCCGAATCCACCGCAAGGAGTCTAAGGTCCAACCTGGAGCCCGGCGGGGCCGAGCAGCGCCCACCGGCGGAGCCCCCCACCCGACCTAGGCCCGCGGGGTGCTGGCACCAGCTCGGTGGTCACAGAGGGGGTGCGCACTCACCGACCGGCAGCAACCAACCGGCGACGATCCGCCCTGTCCCGTGCGATCGGTTCTGACTGCTCACAGGGAGTTCAGAGCCCGGGGCCGACACCCCAACTATACACGCGGCCCCACCCCGCCCCGCACACGTGACCCGCGGCCAGGGGCTGGGAATCCGCCCAGGCCAGGCGGGGTACCGCCCCCAGCCGCCTCGCTGCGCGCCCCGGGCTTCGCCCTCCTGCCTGGAGGGGTGGGGATCCCTATTGGGTGAAGGGGTGCCCGGGTTTGGGTTGGAGAACCACCTGGGTCAGGGGTTCTGGAAGGCCGGTGGCAAAGCGCCCAGGCCGGTTTGGGAGTTTTGCAAAAGGCTGTGGCAGCATTGTTCAAAGGAATGAGCAGTAACTAAGCTGTTGATTAGCATTAGTCCTCAGAAAAGAACTGCCTTTTAAAATGGAAACCTTGGCCTCTGCATTTTCATTTTTAGCAAACTAATAACCTAAAGTTTTGTGAATTTTTTTTTAAAGATTTATTTATTTATGCATACAAGAGCTGGGGTGTGTGGGCCGGTGAGAGGATTCACTAGAGACAGAGCAGGGAACAAAACAGGCAGACTGAAACACACTGCTGAGGGGAGCAGCGAGTGAGACAGGAGAGGTCTGCTGCACCATGTGGGTCGCTCTCTGGCCAGCTGCTTCCTGTGCAGCCTGGGATGGAACTCGTGGTGCAGAGGCTGGGGACAGCTTCATACTGCCATGCTTAACCCCTTGCGCCACCAGGAAGGCCCAGTTTTGTAAAATTTTAACCCCAGGACAGAGATTTCCATTTCACTGCACTTTTCACTTTGAAGTCAATTCCTCAAACCTATTTCTAATTTAAAGTTGAATTTAGAATTTCCCCAAGGGGCCTTAGAATATTGTTGGTTGGTCCCCCTTCTTTTTTTCTCAGGAACACTTAAGCCCAAATTGCTCTTGGATGATAGCTGTCTGTGCTTATTGAGCAAGATGTCTAATTTCTTTTTAAGGTGCAGGTTATACCTTTAAAAAAATGTAAAGATACTAAAATCATCACATCTGCGTCCCAGATTTTTTCTTGTGTAAAATGAAGGGACTTAAACCAGATTATTTGCGCAAACAAGTTGTGCAAAGACCCGGGCCAGGTGGGGATTCTGTGGACCTATCCCCAAATGGCAGAGTGGCAGGCAGAAACTCCAGCTGAAGCTATAGTGACTCCACCTGCCTGAGCTCTTTGTAGCCAAAAGTAAACTAGACCTGACAGTTGCCTGTGCCAAGGGTGGCTCACATTGGGTTGGCTGCTGTAGGGTAAGGTAAAAAGTATCAGGCTTTTCTGCCCTCCCACCATTAGGAAAGATGAAGGAACCCTGTGGTCCCAAATACATGCCTGATGGCGGGCACCTGGAATAGGGTGTGGGCATAGGTGGATGGGATTCACCTGGGCTGAGACTGGGCTTTTAGGGGCAGCGTCGCGGGGATGCCAGCAGAAGCCGAGAGAAGAGAAGCAGTAGAAGCAGAGAAGCAGAAGCAGAACCACAAGAGAGCAGAGCAGCAGAGATCACCAGAGAGCCCAGAGTGAAGACTTGCTGGGGGCTGGGAGGCGTCCCAGCCTCTCGGCCCCCCAGCACTCCTGACTGCTGTGTACCTGGTAAATCCCAATAAAAGCCTGAAAAGCCACCGAGGGCTCCAGTACTCTTCTCTCCTCCTTTACCCTGTCTGCTCAGATCATAGAGATCCTGCCCTGTGCCCATTCCTGCCACTACAGCTGCCCTGACCTCAGCCTTCAGGAGCGGAGCCACAGTGACACTGGAGTGGAAGCCTCCTAGCTAGTTGTGTCAAGGTATGGAGTTTGAAATGTGGAAAGCCCTCAGATGCGTTCACCTCAACTATTTCATTAGTGTTACTTGAACACAGATACTGTTTATCATAAAGATTTAACCGACCTATTACAAAGGTACCCTTATTCACGACTAAATTAATACCTCTACAGGCCTTCAGCAAGGAAAAAAGCATGGCATTTCCCCTCTCTCTCCATTATTTACAAGTAATTAAAAATAAAATGCAATACAAAACCCTAAGATACATGTTAGGAAGTCCAAAAAATTTCTGGGTTTGTTTTGTGTTTCCCCCCTTATGTTGACATACATCTTCAAAATTTTAAGCACTCAAATTATTATTTTTTTTTTGGTTGCTCCAGCTGTTAATCCTCTAAGTAGATGTCTGTTGTTAATCTGCCTTTGCCCTGATGTAACACAGCAGCAATGCACTGAATGTTGAGTAATGATGTCTTTTTTTCTTTCACTTCTCACTGATCTGACTTCTTATTTTGCAACAGAAGACTCATGCCCTTTCACCTACAAACCCTCCAGTTTTTTCCCTTCTGTTGTAAACCGGTGAGTCAGTTGTTTTTAAGAATGAATAAGCTAAAAAAAAAAAAAAATGAATAAGCTTTCTTTTGCTATTCTGTGCCTGTGGAGGAATGGACCCCAGGGCCAAAGCCCTCCAGGCCCACAGAGAATGAGCTTATCAATGCCGCACCTTCAGCTCTTTCAATCTTGATGCCTCTCTGAGAAACTGGAACTGGTGACAAGGATAACACCCAAGCCCTCTGGGAGATTCTGGTGGTCTCTAAATTTGAGAATCTTTGTTTTACGGGATCTAGTACATCAGAATCATCTGTGGAGCTTGTTACACATTCTACCTCCATCTACCCTAGAACTGCTGAATTAGGATGGGGAGAGGCAGGACCCTGCGTTTTAAACAGCAGCCCTTTTGAGTACCAACACTTCACTCTTCACATAGCAAGTTCACATACTTTTCCTATTTGAGCCTCACAACATTCTGGAAACTAGATGAACTGGGAATTATTACTCCTATCTTAATCATGAAGATACAGCCTCAGCGAATTTATGTGATTAGCTCACAGTCTTATGACTGATAAGAAGTTCTATGTCACTGTTGACAAGCTAGCCCTGCCCTAATGTAACTAGATCATATATATGAGGGGCATGATTTGGGATAGTTACCTAATTTCTCTTTGCCTGAATTTTCTCATCTATAACATGAAAACAAAAGTCCTCAGTGATCTATGTAAAGGGTATTATGGTGCTCACTATGTTAGTCTTTCAACTTTTTTTTTTAAGGTTTTATTTATTTATACAAGAACTGGGGTACAGGGCCTCCCTGGTGGCGCAGCGGTTGAGTGCTGGGTTGCGAAGCTGCCCGCAGCCTCTGCAGCGCTGGTTCCATCCCCGGCTGCTCCCCGGCCACCAGAGGAGGGTCCCCCGTGGCGCGCAGACCTCTCCTGCTGCCCGCTGCTCCCCTCAGCAGTGTACTTCGGTCCTTCTGCCTGCTCTGCTCCCTGCTCTGGCTCTGGTGAATTCTCTCACCCTCCCACGCTTCTGATTGTACCCAGTGCTTGTATAAATAAATAAATAAATCTTAAAAAAAAACAAAGAACTGGGGTACAAGTCAGAGGCGCGGGAGGATGAGAGAATTCACCAGAGACAGAGCGGGGAGCAGAACAGGCAGACTGACCCAAGAGGTCTGCCACGCCATGTGGGTATCTCCCTGGCCTGCCAGGAATCAAACCTGCGCTGCAGAGGCTGCAGACATCTTCACAGCGCAGTGCCACCAGGGAGGCCCTTTCAAATTTTAAATTGTTTAAAAATAAAAAGTTGAGGATATGTAGCATTGAGACAATGAACAGACCTGTAACTACATACAATGAAATGTAAATTAAAGCATTCACAGCAATACTGTTAAAATAAGCAAACTAAACCCTGCTGATAGAAGGATTGAGTTGCTTTGGAGGGGGGAGAGAATTAGTGACTGCAAGGGGCCACAAGGGGCCTTTTATTTTCTGGTATTTTCTGTTTCTTGCTCTGGGTGCTGGTTACATGTATGTGTGTGTTTTGTGAAATTTCATTAATTTTTCTCACATGTGATTTTTATATGTAATACATTAAAATGTTTTCTTTTTAAGTTGAAGAAAGAAAAAGAAGCTGCACCCCCTGTGGCCTAGGGGTTAAGCCTCAGTGTTATCACCAAGACAGCCTGAGTTCGATCCCCGGCCAGGGAGCTAACCCATATATGTAGGTATTCCAAGAACTACACTCTAAGATCCTTCAGTCAGTGTAAGACTCTTGTAAGGAGTAAGATAACCAAGTGATTTGCTAACGCACCACAAGTGGTAAAGTTAAAACCAGGACCTGAGATGGCCTTTCCATAATGTATATGAAATAGAGCTTGACGAGAAGTTTGTTTCATTGAATCATTTTGCATAAAGAATTGCCCATTATAACATATATTTGTGAAACTTATAACTCATGCTTATTGATTAGCTCCAACACTAAAAAACTAAACAAAACAAAACAAAGAAAAACAATTCCCAAACTCAAGGCCTAATAACCCCAAGACCATATGACAACTGTTGAAGTCAAATTTCTTTGAGCTGTACCAAGCTATTTCTAAGGATAAATGTCTAAATTTCCTCCATAAAGTTTGTTGATTGAATGTTGAACTAAAGAGCCAAAGGGAATGAGGTAGGAAGAAAGAGAAGAGGGAAAAACAGAAAAGGTGACCAGAAAGATATCGGGAAATTATTCTGGAGGATGAAGAAGTCTTATGTGAAGTTAAGAAAGTCCATCCTGGGCCTCCCCGGTGGCGCAGCGGTTGAGCGCTGGGTTGCGAAGCTGCCCGTGGCCTCTGCGGCGCCGGTTCGATCCCCGGCTGCTCCCCGGCCACCGGAGGAGGGTCCCACATGGCACGCAGACCTCTCCTGCCGCCCGCTGCTCCCCTCAGCAGTGTACTTCGGTCCTTCTGCCTGCTCTGCTCCCCGCTCTGGCTCTGGTGAATTCTCTCACCCTCCCGCGCTTCTGACTGTACCCAGTGCA